TCCCATTTGTACTCCTTTCTGTGTTCAGGGGGTCTATGACAATTTGCCACAGCCAACACGCCAGGGCCAACTTTTCACAGACAACTCACCACAGCCAACTTGCTGTGGGACAACTCGCCAGAGGACAACTTGTTGCGGGACAAAAGTTACACTAATCTCAAAGAAATGATCATTAAAGGATGCAAAAAGAAGGACAAAAATGAAATATGAATGGTAAAAATTAAAATAAATTTTAATTTATTTTAAATAATTAAATACAATTGTTAAATTGTCCTACAGTGAGTTGTCCATGGCGAATTGGCCATGGCGAGTTGGCTGTGATGAGTTGGCCATGGGGAGTTGGCCGCAGTGAGTTGGCTGTGGCAGTTGTCCCATTCCCGTTTCAGATGTCTAGTCACCATAAACCTGGATCCTCAGCATAACACTGGTGGGTATCCATCTGCTATAAATCTTCCCTCAGTATCTCCCAGGTTTTCTGTATTATTGATTTAACTTTTGTAAAAGGATAGCAAAAGAAAAGAAAAACGAACAGTCTTAGATGTAATCCATATTTCTAATAATACCTTTGGCCCAATATAGACCCTAAAAGTATTCTTAGTAAAATCATAGGGGACTGCAATATGGTCCTTAATTCGGAAAATTCCCCCCCACCCCCCCAAAAAGGCCCAGACAAGCTGGAGTAATGAAGAGCAATGGGGAGCAAACTTATTTGTTTTGGGAGGATGTTGTAATTGTCTCTCAGCCTCTCAAAGTTCAAATGTGTCAGTGCTCCCAGGTCAGCTAATGGTCACTTACTCACACACTCACAGCTCTGGAAAATAGCCACACTCAAATCACTTTCCTTCAAACACTGAGGCACAATAAATGGAGAGCCAGTGAATTTAAAATAACAGGAAAACTTTATTGGATATATAGAAAAACAAAAGAAGAATTGAACACCAGGATGAAAATACAAACAAAAGCTGTTTAATGTAAAACCACTTAGTTTTCGTCGGCCAAACTGCTGACGTCGTCAGAGTGAAAGCAAAGGATCTGGAAGTTTACTTATACGGCCTGCTGCTTCTGCGCCCTGCTCTTTGAGCGAGTCACCAGTCCATATATATATATCGGACTTGGGAGGGGTTTTCCATGTGCTAAGGCCCAATTTCTCTTGTCTGCTTCAGGGGACATTTTTTTTCTTTGTTTCCTTAACAACATGGTTCCTTCTTAACTACTTCCCCTAAGGGATCTTTTAGACAAGATTCCTTGCTGTCCTCTTGATCTTTAGGTATGGCAGCTTCAGCCTAGTCTCATGCTATAACACATTTTCTTTTTCTTTTTATGCTGTACATGTTTCTGATACGCTTCTTTCTCTCCTAAGCTTACATTGCCAGAGAAGGGAGAAAATATTCTCAGCAATCCAAACTGAGCATATGTGGATGGATTTGAAAATAAAGCAAGGACCGTATGAAATTAAGTGCTGGGTTTTGTGTGACCCTACATTTCCAGATGGCCTTATCTGGCGTAGATGTATAAAACTCATTCAGATAAATAAGGATTATTTCTGGCCCAGCACAAGCTGCCTTTCTCAGTCTTATGTGCCTGGATATATCATCATGTAGAACAATTATTCTTTTTGGTCATGTCATGTGAGTTTTGGTGAGTACCTTCTTCCCCTGGGTCCTGCATGTAGGCATAGACTCCATAGGGTAAGCACTATGCCCCATTTTAGTGTGTGTGTGTGTGTGTGTGTGTGTGTGTGTGTGTGTGTGTGTATAAAATTATTTTTACAAATAACTTAAAGTGGTGAACATATCCAACACACCTTCCTCCTCCTATTTTCCCACAACATCAATCCTGTGAGGTGAATTGGCTTGAGAGAGTGATTGGTCCAAAGTCATCCAAATGGCTTTCATGGTACAGTATATTCTTGTTACTAAGACTAAACTTTCACCTTCAAAGCATTATATGTGTGTTCTTTTCTCATCAGAATATTGCCTGGTGGTTTAATAAAAGGATAAAATAAAATGAAATGCTCTTAGGAAGCATTTTGAAGTTGATACTACTAAATGCCTATTATTTTAATAGATCTGATCATTTCAAGCTATAAATTAGAAATCAAAAGTAGCAACATGAGGCTCTTCCACTGTCTCCAGAGAAATCAAGTCTAGACTTGATTAAAACCATAAGTTCTGTTGGGATTGTGTAGTTCACAGACTTTTGTGATTGAATAATAAGGAGCAGGGAAGACTGAGCATTTATTCAAAATGTGCCACTGGCAAGTTTGCTCACACTTTGTAATTACTCTGATACTTGTTGATCCTCTGGCAAATACTAACTAGATAGACCTCTCCAACCTCCTGCTCTTCAGTTGTGTGCAGATTGCAAATCCAGTGCCTCTGAACGGTTAATATGATTCAGGAAAACACCCAGTGCAGAACTGCTTATTTACATAATTCTGTTTGGTAAATCATCATTTGATGACAAGAGAGACCTAGGTGAAGATCTCTCTCTCTCTCTCTCTCTCTCTCTCTCTCTCTCTCTCTCTCTCTCTCTCTCTCTCTCTCGTCTCTGACTTTCAGAGACTTTATAGATTACAGCTCTTTTCAGTCTTTCAATGTTTTATAACTTTATTTACTGTTTCCAGGATTAATCCTGTATTAACTTTATGGTATCTATACAGTACATTCTTTGCCAGCCTCATTTGCTAGCATAACTAATTTTTCTAAGGAATTTTATTGCATGATATAATCAAAATAAGATCATCTTAATTTGATAAACTTAACTTCCAGTGATATCTTTGGCTTGATGTCTAAAATTTGCTTATTTTTGCTACCGGGATACATGCAATAGCCACATTCAAACCCAAAATTCGAAAGAATCCAGTTTTTAAATGTTTTTTTTATTATCCAACTTTCACAATTATAGATCGTTAGAGGAAAAACAATAGCATTTACTATTCTGCATTTGGTATCAAGATCCTGGTTTTCAGGATTTTCAGTTAATAACTGCAATGTCCCCTAGTGATATTCTGCATTTAATTTAAGTGCATAGTGTTTTCTGTTTGGCCAGTTTTAGAACCAAGGAAAATAAAAGTCCTGAACTGATTATTTTGTTTTGATTCTTATTTTTTATCTAGATGTCACTATGGCAGACTATTATCTTTACTTTAATATTCTTGATGTTTAACTGTAGTTCAGTTTTTCACTTTGACTTTTAGGATATTACTTTATTTTATCTGTTTTACATCCTCTTCATTTTCTGTTGGTGACATGGTGCCATCTGCTTATCTTAGATTGTTAATATTTTTGCCACCAAATTGTATTCAGATTTGTACTAAGATTCCTGAAAACTGTCTAGAATGCAACTCTGCCTCTTATCTTTTCCTATTTTTCTTATTTGTGTTTATTGAGGATTTTATATAACATGAAAGACAAATCTAAAGAAAACAAAAGGAAAGGAAAAGAAGAAACTAAAGTTATAAAATATGACTTCTGACATTCTCTTCATCAGATAATTACAATCTTGTAATCTCTTAGATGTTTTACAAATCCCTTGCTATATAAAATTTCTCAATGTATTTCTTTCATCTATTTTTGTTGTTTCTGATCATTAATGTGCCAATTTTGTTAACTGTATTCCAGTGCAAAACTTCCAGAGCTGACAATATCAAGAATTGCATCCAAAAGAGCAATATAGCAATGATCATTGTGCTGCTTCTTCAATTTGAGCTAATCCCCTTCGTGGGATGATGCTCCCCTTTCTTAATCCCAATCTGCACATAAATTTCTCTGGATGCAACAGCTCCCAGATAAACTAGTCACTCTCATCTTTCACCAGAGAAATCTGAATCTGCTATATAAAAGCCCCTTGGTTAGGATCAAGGACCAAAATCTCTTATCTCCTAGCTGTTTTGAGGAGAGTTACCTCTGTGGGAATCCAACAGAGGAACCAAATAAGATAGTGGCATTAACTAGAGTTGTCAGCATGAGAAAATTGCTGTACTGAGATCTTTTAGTTTAGTTGGTATAATATTTGTTATAGTCTGCAGCTTCTGCTCTAAGAGAAGCATTGCTCTGTCTCCTTTCACAGAGTGTTTTTAAAACAGTGAGAAATAGAAGACATTTTCCAGGAGTGTGTAACTCATCAGTCAGGGGACACTATAACCACATCTATCAAAATGTGGTGTGTTTGCATCTTATTTAATCAACCAGATACTCCCCAGGTAGACTGACAGCTCCTTATTTTGGGATGAGAACAATGAAAGTATGGCATATAAATATTATAAATAAAATAAACTATCAGAACCTCCATTAGCCAGCCCCAAGGCTAGTTAATATGTTCTTTATATTTTAACTTATTCAACTATTCTTTTCCCTTTGAGTGATCAGAATGCTTTTTTTCTAGCTTTCCTGGTTTCCCTTCCCTTTAAATCTTTTTATTCTTTTCTCCCCAAATATCTTGCATCTCCGGGGTCTTATCACTGTACTCTTCTGCATCTCTTATTAAATGTTTCTTCATTCATCAGAAAGGAAAGGATTACAAGAGAGTAAGCAGGTATACAGTGGGAAAAACATATTGAAAGGAATGCACTGGTGCTGGCAGTCGGAAGCATACTAGGCAAACAACTGATTGTTCCCCATTATGTGCCTGCTTATTCACTGTAATCCCTTCCTCTACTCCTTAAGATGGTGGGAAATGGGCCAGCCACAGAACAATATGTATTGACAATAAGGGCAATTAATTACATGACTGAGGGATTACTGTGAAGATTGTAAACGTACTTTGGTTGGAAAATTATTTTTTCAGGACTGTCATAACTTCCAATAATTGCTGAATGGTAACATTAAGTCTATTGTATTTTTATTGTCACTTGTACATTTCCTAGAACATTTAAGGGATTGGCTGGTTTAGATATTTAGAAATAAATAATACATTGCCTATCAGTGAAATCAACAGTGGTTCAAGGCCACTTTTCCTGAAATTTTAGAAGTCCCATATAGAAGAAAAACAGACTACAATCAAATCCACAGCTTAGTTTATTGACTCCTGCAAGATTTTATTTCATTCTACATCGTTTTAAATAACACAAACACAAATGTGGATAGGATGGCAACATTCCACAGTATAGACCACTATCCAGCCCACCTGCCAGCAACAATGACCAGCATGTAGCCTGGCAAAAGGTTTGCCGTCCTGAGAGACGATTGGGGAGCCAGTCACAAAATACGATTAAGAATGGGCAGCAAATTAATGCACTTTCCAAAGCAAGCAGTAGTAGAAATAGTTACATCGAAAAGCAATCATGCAGGAATAGAACACAGTATTAATTCTTTTTTTCAAAAATGACCATCTCTGAATTCTGTTTTTCCACAAGTTCCAATCTTATTGGAAACATAGGAAACACATGAGAGATAAAATATATTTCATTGTGTTGTTTTCAAAATGTGTATTAGGTTTAAAAAATACAAATGGACTCTTCATATTAAGAAGGTGAAATTGACCATTTTGCCCAACTTTTTTCTGTAGTAAATACAATTTATTTTAAATGACTTTGTACAGTACTCAGAGGGATTAGGTCTGGTGTGATAATTATTGGATTGCATTTAAATTGACTATTAAAATAATCCTAGAAAGCTATAATCCTGACAATTTAACAATGGATACAACAACTTTTTGTAGATCGAAAAAATTATCTCACCACTCCATGAAATGTAGAAATGAACAGTTAGCCCTAGATATGACTTTAAACTGTTTAGAAATCATGGTTTATTTATTTATAAATGCAATGAAATTATTTCACCTTTGCCCAGCACACTTTCCAACTCCAATGGGCAAGGGGGGGCCTTCAGTCATGGCAAGAAAAAGGCAATAAAAGTACCTTTGGCTCCTCAACTAATAAATAGCCAAATCACCATTTTTTCCTGTTGATCCAATAACGTCATTGGTGCTCCATTATGACAATTTTTTAACAAACTGCTTATTGAAAATGCACTCAGAACCATTAAAAGAAATGTTTTTGCAATATTCTGGAAGTTAATCATTTTGCATAAATAAAACACAATGAAACATTGTAATAAAATAGGTAAATAACATTTCACTACCACACTATAATCACAGCCAATTGATGATCTCATTAACTTTTCAAGTTCTAAATTGCTTAGGCAGTTGAAGGATTCATCTATGATTGATAACAGTAGATTCTTTCCCAACTATAAAAAAGCTGATACCTTTTACAAAGGATATTACATAGAAATTGTTACCCGTTTTTTTCTCTTTCAAGACATACTCACTCTGAAGGAATTCCCCATGATATGCATCTACAGCAAGGTGGGAACAATAATAAAAATAACATTTTTTTATCTTAGGTGAATGAGAAAATAGGTCTGATTGCACAATCTTGTGCGGGAATCATAAATGGCTTTATTTTGTCACATGTGAATAGAGCAAAAACCTATTTCTTGAAAGAGAATGTGGGGTTATGAGTGTGCAGTTTTTTTTTCCTTTGAAGAAGCTTCTGTGGATGAAAGACTTGTCTCCAAATTAAAGGAGACTGAAGGATGTTATGCAAGTTTCCTGATGCTATGCAAACAGATCTTTGTTTTTCAGACATAGTGATCTGGAGTTCTATTTATTCCTAGTAATGAAGTACTGAATTCCTAGTAATTCCTATATATTTTAGCATATCTCTTCAAGGATGCATCATTGAGATGATAATGGGTTCCTTTAAGGTTATAGTTGGATAGACTTGGCAGTTGGCAAGGTAGACCTCATCCATTTCCTGACTTTCTACAACAGGGGTCTCCAAACTTGGCAACCTTAAGACTTGTGGACTTCAACTCCCAGAATTCCTCAGCCAGCCCTGTGGAGGTGAAATCCACAAGTCTTAAAGTTGCCAAGTTTGAAGACCCCTATTCTACAATTTGCTCAGACTGCCTTCCACTTCATGATTCAACTGTTCCGTCCCAATACTGATCAGCCTTGGAGCAGACATCTTTTTCTGTTCTTGAGACTAGAGACCTGAGACTTGGACATTCTGACACAGAATAGAAATAAATATGCTTAGGCTGATGCCCATCTTCACTTTCATGTAATTGCTAGAAGATTGGCTATTATAGTCTGTGGCAGCCAAAAAGAAACAAAAAAAATCTATTATAGTCAACTGTAGTCTAAGAGAGTTAAGCTATAATCCATATCAATCTTTAAGATGCCACCAGATGCTTCTCATGGTTTTTAAAATAAATACTACCATCTTTTGATTTGTAAAATCTCACTTTGATGCCTATAAAATTCTCCTGCTGCAAATATATACTGTATAGCCACACTTTCCTTCCAATTATGAGCTCTTTACACAAGAAAGGGGAGGGAGGAATCACTCACTAGCACAAATGAAAGCAATTAATTTTTAATTCTATTTTGCACAAGTCAAATTTAACTGATTTGTTCTTTCCTGAAATATTTTATACAAGAAAAACACATCATAAACTCTCCGTGTATAAAACTATGTGATCAAAGAGGAACATTCAAGGAAATATTTAAGAAGAAAGGGAATCATCATAGAGCATCTTAAAATTCAGACATCAAATGCAGGCAGGAGAGCCTTGTTTCCTGAAGTAAACAATGGCAATTTTATTAGAAATTATATTGCTTTATACATACTGTGTTGCTGAAAAAAATATTTTCAATTGGATTTGGGCTTAGTCCGCATAATTCTTAAATATATTAGCCTTGTTCTGTGGCTCATGTTTTGGGGAAGCGACTTCCATGTCTTCAGAAATTACAAGGAGATATCATATCAGCCATCCCTTTTAAAGCCATAATAGTCAAAACTGAACTAAAAAGTTTAATTGGAATGAAAAGGAAGAATAAAAATGGAACCTGGAGAAAAGTATGGACACTTGGAAGAACAAATAATCTCCATCACAATATTCAAAACACTGCTAGAGACAACAGAGAAATGAGCAATTATCTTCAAAGGATTGAATTGCATTCATTCATTCATTCATTGCATATTTTGATGAAAACAATTTGTTTTTTTGTCTAAGTGCATTTACTGCTAAGTTTATTCATTAGAAATGCTTTTCTTTGAAAAAGTGACATTAGAAGAAAGTATGTGCTTCATAATCTCTCTCTGTAAAACCCATGGCTTCAATGCAGGAATTTATGTGTAGCAAAGTGACATTTGGGACCACATTTTATATTTGTATTTGTAATCTCAATACATCACGATAGCAACATCTATCCTGACCTCATACTGGTAACACAGATCTATGAATCTTATCTTAAATATTTTCATAGTGCATCTGCTCTCCAAGATTCATGCTATATGACACTGCATAGGTACAGCAACTGGAACATCCCATCCAACACATTATTTATTTATTTATTTTGCTGGCATCTCAAATCTTAAGACTGAGTTGTAAGTCTACAGTTCAAAGCACACTTTCTTACGGGTTCCAAAACAATAGTGATTAGGTCTGAAATTCAGTTGTACAATCTTAGCCCCATTTATAACAGATCCAAAATTTACACCACAACCGAATGCCAGTTTACATGCCATTTTCAGTGGCCACTGCAAATGTTTCCCAAATATAACAGTTAAGAGCCAGCTGGACATTGCTTTCTATGTCTCTTCAACAGCTAGTTAGTTATCAAGCCCATCTTAACAATACGCTTGATTGCCAGAGTTCAGTTTTTGTCACATACAATATGTGACTAGTGGAAGATCAGTTGAAAAATATTAAAATGAAAATGAAATTTGATTAGATGATTTCTTGGCATACTTTCTCTTAGCTTGCCATCAAATTTCCCAAAGTTTGTAATGGGTAGGAGCTGGTGAGGCTGGCTAGCTATTTTGCCAAACAGTTTTAAAAGATGATAAAAATAATTCTCAGAGCTAACCCACAAAGGAAGTACTTTTTAAGAACACTATAAGTAGGTGCACAATGGCTACCACTTCTATTTGGGGGCTCTAAAAAGGCAAAGTGATAGAACTGCTGTTGCTTGGCTTGAACAATGTGGATAAAATCCAGGCAATTTTATGGCAAGCGGGAGGCTTTGATTTGGCAATGAGACAAGTCGAAGAAGTCTGTAATAGTCTGTAAGCAAAACGATGAGGCACAACATCAAAAGCTCTGCACCGACATAATGAAACTAGTTCCTGACAAGTATGCAGTTCTGGTTTGCATCTTGGCTTGCTTATGTTGCTCATCTGAAGTTTGCCAGTGAGGATCCTTCGTAAAGTTCCTTTCTACCGAACCAGAAAATGTAACTAAAGTGCAAATAGATTCAGGTTCCTCCAATTGTTCAAATGTTTAGTATTTTTATTACTAGTATTGCCATCTTCACCTTGATATCATATGAGATTTGGTGATATTCTTCATTCTGTATTCTTCAATTAAAAGGCAAGAACAGAAGAGGGATGTTTACGCCAAATAGAAGAGATTGGAAGCTGTCATGAGTACCATCATGGTAATATGCAAACATTAGTTAATGTCAAAAATAGTGCACTGAAGAATATCCAATAATCATAAAAAACAGACCATGTAATCTTTGGATCTTATTGCTTGCAAATAGTCCGAAAATTTTCATTATACAAAAATTGTATCAAATTATTTGTTATTCAGTCTTTACCGAGAACTGCTTCTGTCTTTCCTGCATCTGCAATGAATAATTGAAGAGATGGTTAAATAGCCACGCAACAGAGAAATAAACAAATTCATACGCAAGCCCTGCGCCAAGTTAATAAGGATGAACATTTCATATGCTCTTTGATGACTTTTCTATTTTTTGTTGCAGAATAGTACACATGAAATTATAAAAACAATATAATAGAAGCATGAAACACAAAAAATCCCCTATCAGGAAAAATAAATCTAACTGTAAGTTAAACATAGAATGTACATTTAATTCCACGTCCAAATTTTCTTTAGAATGCTTAAGCCAAGAGAATTTTAATTTAAGACTGAAAAGAGCCAATCTTTTGGAAGATACCCTTAAGTTCAGTGCCTTCACAGAAAAGATCCATTTTTGTACACACGTAGCATTTCTCTGAACAAAGATATGTAAAGGAATTCTTTGAGATGTCAAACTGATTATTATCACGGGGGGTGGGGGATTATTGCTATTGATTATTTTTATACTAGTTTTTTTTATCTTTCTAAGCCACCAGGAATCAATGAAAGCTGAATAGCCATATACATTTTCTTAAATAAAAGAAATTCATATTTGGGTCCGAGTCATTTAGTCATGAAATGGGCATAAAAATGAACAGAAACTTGTTTCAATGTGTAGTTTGTATTTCTGGACTGGGCAAGGTGTTCTCTATGTAATTAATAATGTGACATCAGAACATAGTAGAATGTGTTCCCGGAATACATGGGTAAAAAGTAAATTCTCATACCAACTAAATTCCTGAATTTCTTTTTGGCTTCTGCTCTTTCCTCAGCATCGAAATACCACACAGTCATTGCATACCTACAAAAGGGGGGAAAATCCATGATCCATTACATTGAGGCTTTATTATGTCTTTGGAAATTCATAGAGCATACAACTTATTATATTGCTCGGTGACTTTAGATGGCAATAGTTTCAAATATGAAGACAGACAGAGAGTTACTAAACTATCTTCTTCATTTTGGCACCTTCAGCTGTGCTGGAACTGCAACTCTCATTACTCCTACAGTAACCAATAATGCAAGCCCAACCAAACTGGAGGGCACCAGCTTGGGGAAAACTATTGTGAAGTCTGTAAGTCCTCCTAAAGTGCCATGTCTTGCTTACATATTGCTATGAAAAGGGACATCATTAGTAAGAAGCAGATGGGCACATTCTCTAACCAGGACAAAAACAATTATTGAGAAAGCATCAGTATCACAGATGCAGTAATGCTGAAAGAGGACTTCACTATTTAATTTGGCAGCATAAATAATTGTCATGGGTGCTTGTGACAAAGAAAAAAAATGTCTAGATTCCAAAAAAGCCATTACTCATAATTTGCTATATGGATCCAAACACACCTATCAAAATTTTACCAATTTTGCCTAAATTGGTTAAAAAAAAAACTCTCAAAGGGTTTGTGTGTGCATGCACATGTATATAAGGGGGTTCTTTAACCAAGGCTGAATATCTGGAACACAGAACTAGAGGACAGAAACACCTATTGAGCTAGGAAGTTAACATTAATTTGCATAACTGCATACTTTTTTTTTCTTTCTGTTCAGTCATATCTGATTCTTGGACATTGCCTGGGCAAGTCCTGCAGTTTTCCTGGCAAGGTTCCCCCCCCCCCCCGGAAGTGATTTGCCATTGCCTCCTGCCTAGAGCTGAGAGAAAGTGCCTGGCTCAAATTCACACAATTGGCTCTGTGACTAGACAGACTAGAACTGTGAATGACTCTCAGTTCCCAGGTTGATGCCTTAATCGCTACATCAAACTGGCTCTTAACTGCATACTATGTATATACACATAGTAAATACCAATCAGCAGATATTCAATACAGAATTAAACATGAAAAAATGCAATGATTTCCTTTTCAATAAAGTAATTAGAAAAATGGGAGGATAAAAGAGCACACTTTCATATCAAGTGTTTCTACATAATAGATACTTCTATTTTTCCAGTATAATTCCCAAATTATATGATTTAACCAGAGTATTGTTCCTTTCATCTAGCAAGTTTGAAAATTCAAATTTCAGAAGTCTATTGGATTCAGAGGTCTTTCCTGAACCTGCTATCTGAAATCATTTTACTGACAATGCTGAAATAGTACATCTAACTATATATGAAGTCTGTCCCTAAGCACAGGCTGCTTTCCTACATTAATTAAAACCCACACCTGCAGTCTTTACCTTGTTGCATAGGAAGGCTGCACTTCATGTGGGTTCCTTCGGTCTGACCAGAAAAAAAGTAATCTGTCAAAGATGGGTTCGACATCCGCTACATAGGACTTGCCCTCTGGGAATATTCGTAGAATTCCTCCATGCAGCTTAAACAGAAAGAAAAGAACCAGATCATTTTTTGATTACACAGGATAAGCAGACGGCTTAAAATGGCTTATTTTCTATATATATGTGCATAAAAACATAAGTCAGATGGGGAGATTTACTGAGGACCCAACTGGACATGAATGGGGAGAATGAAGAACTCATCTGCTGATGAAAAATTTGCCACAGCCATTGGGGCCCCATCCTGTCATGTTCCTTCAATAATCCCAGGGCTGACCTAAGTATATACCATTTGTGTTGCAGTTCCTGAAGGGTCTTTGGATATAATATAGTCTAAGCTCTTGCCAAATCACATTCTCTCTGCTCTACTGTAATGGTGGACATTTTTACTGATGTGCCTGGAGACATCTAGCACCAATTTAGGTGTATCTCTGTCAGCTGAGAAGCACAAGAGGGCAGTTGCATCATTTGTGAAGTATTAATGGGAATAATTAGTGGGTAATAAATGGGTCAGCTTGAAGCACTGATCACTTCTTTTCCCTGGTACCATGAATAAAGCTAGGAATCCCGATAGATATAATAAATGAATGCATTTTTTAAAAAGGTAATCATGTCTAAGGGCATGATCATTGTTAAATATAAAGCAAGTAAAATAGTAATGTACAGATAATACAATTCTTTAAAATTGTATTTTTACTTAGCCAAATTAATTTGCTCTTTGTGTTTATTGAACAAATCTTAAAATGAATCAAGTATTAATACAGTGGATGGGGAAAACAATGCTCCTTTTCTCAAGGCTTTCTAACCACAATTTTGTCTGGTTTTCCCTAGCAGACCTGTTATACTCTTTTTTGTTATGATAAAGCTCTCGCTATCATATCCAGATAAGTGAACCACTTCCATCCCCATACTTAAGTGTTATATATAATGAGCAAAATATTTTTTTTAAAAAATAAAGTTTTATTTTCTGCTGGAAATTCTAATTCAGTTTGCTCTGTCGTTTCAGAAGCAGGCACCACAGTATGATTTCATATAAAACTACGTGTGTTCTAATTTATTTAAATGTAAACATTTAATTTGTTACAGCAATTAAAATGTGCAGAATCCCTTGACAATTCTTCAGAGAATACTTTATTTAGCCATTTATTTTTTAACAAAAAGCTGGAAGATTCTTGACACCTTCTAGTGTTGGTGGAAAGCAGTGTCCAGAGATGCTGCACAATTAACAGGTAATTATTATTATTATCTGTTAGATTTATACCCCATCACCATCCTGTCTGTAAAGTTGATTGAGAGAGAATGTCACATTCCAAGTCATAGTTTCTCAGTGGCTGAGGGGAAACTTGAACCTGGCATGGTTACCGTGTTTATGTCAGATTATGCCAAAAGCACTTTCACCAAAATATTAACATTTTAAATTTAACTGTCCCCTTTTTCTATTTAAAACTTTCTCAGATCAAAATTTTGTTCAGTTTTGTGCTATTATATTTACTGCTATGTTCAAACTTCTGGACTATTATTTTGCTCCTTTTATTTTCCTTAATCCAGAATGAAGAATATCTCACTGTTTGTTTCTTTTTCTTTCCTGCTGTTCCAAAAACATTTCTTTAACTTTCACACTGTTGTATCCAAATGTACTTAAGAAAGTGAGGTTTCGGTTAAACTCAGTGTCCTTAAAGAGTCCACTGTGGCTATGAGCTAGATTTCTCTCTCTCATTTCCCAGCCACTCAACTCGTGAGTTGACCACAAGGATCTTCAAATCCTGTGGACTTCTCCAGATGAGTGCAGGTGGGCAATCTTTGGGTCAGTCCTTATCTAGAGAGGCTCCCCTGGCCTGTACTAGTTGACTGGCCACAGGTAGCACTATAACACAGTCTTCACTCCCTCAGAGATGTCCTAGTTTGCCATAATATTCATCCAGAAAGTGGATCTGCCCAGACTTAACAGAACACTACTATAATACCACTCTATGCATGCCATGTTGACAGTGAGGTTTTGCAGCCAGATTGTTATTATAATCAAATTTACATCTTTCTTATCCAGATAACACCTGTGGTCTTTTATACCATCAAATATATCTATTCATCAGAGGGCTGCAGTAAGAGTTCTTCCAGTATACTTACTACATTGGCATTAACATACAGAGGTTTAAAACATATAAATAATTTCCTTTATTGCTTGGATGCATCCAAATTATAAGAAATATCCCTATGTCATCTATTCATTTTGGTGTATTTTTTTAAAGAAAAGGAAAGGATTGTTTTTATTTTCCACTCTGAGAAAAGTCTGAGGGATCTCAGTGTCATATTAAAAAATAATGCTCAAGTTTTCCTGGGTATCCACAAGAGTTGGACATGGTTTGAAGTGGGCATTCTTCTAGATTCAGGGCTTTGAGTAGCTGAAAACAGATGCTTTTGACAGTTAGCAAACCTAAAGGCAGAATGTCAACTTGCTTTTCTTTAAATATATCACAGCAAACAGCCTCTAAGCTCTCCCACACATGTGTTAGCAAACACAATGCTTTTTATGAGGCCAAGGCATGGCAAACAGAGGGAGAAGTTTTCATGATCTTATACTGTGTGTAGGGCAAAATCAAACAAATATTCTTTTTCAAAGAATGTTTTATATGGGACAAAAAAAAAAAAAAAGATGACCACAGCTGAATCTGCCAATCTTCAGTTAAACTACCTCAGTTGTCAGAATCCATTTATTCCTTTATAGGCACCCATTTGTTTTCATCAAACTAAATCCTTTGTTAGCTGTATCTTTAAATAGTGACAGTCATGCCAATGGCTTAGAAATTCTAAGTTATCCCCATCTTCAATAAGCTGTCTATCGATTTGAAATTAAAAAATAATGCAAACATAAAATGGATTTATCTTCACATCTCAGCTACCCAGAAGCAACGGTGTTGTTGTATTCAGAAATTTCACGGTACTTCATAAAATATGGAAGAGCAAGAAAACAAATATGTGGAGAAGAATTGTTTCCGGAGTAGGTTCCTTTTGAGTCTGCATCTCAACTACATGTGAGGAGCTACATACCTTTGAATCCCAGTTCTTGTTCAGGTAATAAATGCAGGTGATACATCGCCCATCTCCATTGGGATTGTCCACATGACGCACATAGCCAGTTCCATTCCCAGGATAGCAAGCTACCATAGCCTAGAAGGTGATATAAAAAGAGAAGAACGATGCTTAGTATTTTTTCCTAATTTGGCAGTTTTTTTAAAAAAGTTTCTATTTGCTTTTCAGATGCAAATCAAAATATAACTTTAAGCTATCTGTCTTACAATGAATAGTTTCTGTAGATGCTGTTAAATTTAGTCAGACATATTTTATTATTCAAAGTAATTCTGCTCCTACAGAGCAGTGCTTTTAAGGAGAAATGCTCCTAGTGAAGATATTAAATCTTCTTTGACCTGACTGACTAGCAAATGTAGGCTGGAAATTAGAAGCCGATATTAACAGTCAGTAAAGAAATCATGGAGGTTATGAATAATTTTTAAAATGCAGCAGGATTTCACTTTATTTTATTGAGTTATTTGATCAATTCATATGGCTGCTCATCTTGCAGCTTAGCAACTCTATTTAAGAATAGTTGTCCACCAGAAGTCTGAAATGAAACGATTAAGATATGACACAGCACACCATAAGGGCAAATGGTTGGAATGTGATCTTAAGATCCATTCCATTCCTACTGGACACTACCGAGAAATACATATAATATATCTACAAATGTCTTCCCTGTACCACAAGCATGAGGACCTTTAGAGATATACTTTTGAATTTGAGTAGAATAACCTTCTCTATAATAATCTTTCCTAGGCATTTATATATTTATTTCAGATTTAAACTATTTTGCAGATTTAAACTATTTATTTCAGATTTAAACTATTTTGCAGAAGCACCCTGCCTCAAATGGGTACCTTTGAAATGTGTTGGTATTACAAATCCTGTAATTGCCTGAACTGTCAGGCCCTACACATTTGGAAATTATCTGAATGGGTTAAGAAGTATCCTTAACTTGTAGAAAAGTGCGAATACCACTTTTTTTCAGGTATTGTAACTCAGGCTTTTCCCTCTATATTCCCACTAAATAAACATAATAAAACAATCCATTTTCCACCCCTCAGGATGTTTATATCTAATGCCTTGATGAAAGTAAAACTTAGATACTGTGCACAGTTGTTCATTTCTTGTCAATATGGGACTGTAAGGACCTCCCTTGTCAAGGCTTAAACCACAGAATTAGTCAAACGTGTTTCAGAAGTAATTTCTTGTTTTAATATTTTCATGCCTGCTAATATAACCATCTTCCTTTTGTGGAATTAATCAGAAGACTAAATATGAAGCTACCCTCTTTAAGAATCATAAGGGAATGCCACAGAGGATATGAACGAAACCATATTTAGCACTGGTTATGGAGGAAATGGGCTCTTCACAGTACATACTCATTCTGGTTTTTTTTTTTTTTTTTTAACGCAACTAGAACCATGTCAGAGGCCTAAGGCTCCCATTCCTGATTATAGTAATCACCATTACCATTTCATGAAACCCAAAGCCCTATGGCCTGAGGAGGCAGATTTTAGTCATCAGAACAGCATATTCCTCAACTCATTTTTCTCTCAAAGACAAAGGGTATCATAGCATAAAACCATAATGTGATGACAAGGCTGTGAAAAAAAGTTATAGCTGGTGGGACAGCAATCATCACTCAGAATGGCTCCGGATAATTAGAAATGAATTGCTACATTTCTGCAGGGCAATAAACTAGGGAAGATTCTATCTCCTTCTTTCTTCCCCCTTTCAAAGAAAATCCCAATAGAGTAGTAGTTAGGCATTTTTAAAATATTTCCTTAGTTACCACCAAAGACCATTTTACACTGCAAAGAAAGACAAAACAAAAAACTTACTTCAACAAATCATCTGTCATTTTCATTTGAGAAACCTAGATTTAATGTAAGTTTTCTACATTCTTGCCCTTTTTCATGGAAAGCAAGACAGAATTATCAGAAATTAAAAATGGAAAAAAAGATTGCAAATCCAATTATTCATTGTCTGGTTCACATCTTTTTTCTCACCAGTACTTCAGTCCACCATTTACTACATCTTCTGGTACATTTTCTCAAATTAATAAATACTTGGCTCTGTAAATTTTTACTGATCCAAATATTTATAGAAGGAGCGACCAGGCTTCAAGTCACTTATCTTCTAACCTCACAACCAACTGTAAACATGTATGTGAGTTAAATTTGGATGCAATATGCAACTTGGGCAAAGGTTAAATAAGAAAGGTAACCTATAAATAAGAGCTACTTGTTTTAAGGCACGGACTGGTCCTGCTAGAATGTCAATTTTTGTCCTTTCTGAAAATGATGCATGCAATCCATCTGAAGATTAGAAGACTGAATGGAGCTAGTATAATATAATTATTAAAACAGGAATAAGAAATCTAAAATCCTCCACTGAGGATTAGAATCTCCTTTTTGCTAGCTGCAGTCAAATGCTAGTCCAACAGCATCTAGACCAGTGGTTCTCAACCTTTTTAATGCTGCGACCCCAACCGGTCGTAAGTCGAGGACTACCCAACTGGTTGTAAGTCGAGGACTACCCAACCAGTCATAAGTCGAGGACTTTCCCTGCCCAGGAGCCCCGCACATGCATGGTGCCGCCCCCTGCGCCGGCCAAGGTGTAGCTGGCAAGGAGCAGCGACGGCGCAGGCCGACCATCGGCTGGGCCACCAGCTGGCCCAGCCCAAGGGAGGTAAGGCACCCACCGGGCCCCACGCGCGCCAGCAACCCTCCCTGCGCCTGCCGGCCTCCGACCTCCCACCCCTGGCCCTCTTTTACTTATATTTTTAATAGTTGCTCAGCAGGGAGGGGTGGAAGCTTCCAGACAGCTCGCCTTCGCTGCAGACAACTTGCAGCACCGTTTGCAGAATGGAGCTTTTGGTGGGCTCAGCAGGGCAGAGACAGCCTGAACAATTCCTATTGGCTTTTGAAAGCCAATAGAATTAGACTCTATTCAAGAGAGTCTATTCTATTGGCTTTCAAAAGCCAATAGAATAAAAAGGAGTAGCACAGCTAAGGAAAAGGGGAAAAAATGGCGGACTGTGTTGTTTGGCGACCCCCGTGAAATGGTCATTCGACTCTAAATGGGGTCCCAACCCACAGATTGAGAACCGCTGATCTAGACTGAAAAAGGCCTCCACTTCTAAGGTTCCAATTTAGTCCTAGGCATTGTGAAGTAGGAAAATTCGAAGCATCTGAAAGCCTGAAGAACTACTTAAGGACTTTACTCGTGTTCTGTTTCCTCATCTTTGAGAAAAACTTCACATCTGAACAGAAAAATGTTCTGCACAAGAAAGATATACTTTCACCCAAAGAGCAGGTAATTCAGTTTAAAAATGAGAGCAAAAAGGAGTACTGAAATATTATAAATTTCCTTAAACCAGCAAACAATTTGGATGGAGGTTTCAACTAGCGGATCTTTCTGGATTTTCTAGACCTTTTGGAAGAAGATTATCAAAGTTCCATCTGGAATAATTCCAGCACAGATGAGGCTAGCCTCCATGTAGAAAACTGGCTGTTGACTGCTTCTTTTGGATGAATCTAAAAGCAAATATTAAAGACAGAAGAGGAAAAGGACCAGAAGGAGGAGCCAAGTGTCATATCAATAATTGTAGAATGTAGCTTAAAATAACTGAAAGTGGCCGAATCAATACGGATCACATCTTCCTCTGTCAATGTCCCAAATAACATTATGCACTTTGCATTTTCATAGCTGTGATATTGATACATAAACACCAAGTTTATTTGACATAAGCACCAAGTTTATTTGAAGTCCTTGTTTCTGTGTTTCGTGCTGATTTTTAAAAATTGCTTAACTCTATTACTTAAACACACTTTGGAATCCACTTTCAGTGGTGACAAATGATACAAACATATTATAAACAAGCATATAAGACAAAGAAGATAAGTTATTCCAAACAATGTTATTTATTTTTTTTAAAAAGGGGGAGGTTGCACTTGAACTATGTTTTCTTACAATAGGCCTCTATAAACCAGAAGCATGTTGGAAGTTTGTTTGAACCAGGCTTAGAAATGGGATCTTAACAGCTGAACACAAAATCAAGGCAGTCTCCAAAACAATGAGCAAAATTCTTCATGCCAAGCGCATGCTACATATGATCTTAAGTAGCATAGTGAGGGATTTCTTTTCATAGCACTTTTCTCAAACATGCCTTTTTTATGAGCCTAGAATGGATGACGAAGTAGGAGATATTTATTTTCTGAGCCTCAAGTCTCAAGATTCTGGGCTTGAGAAACATTTTTTTTTTCATTTGCCAGCTTCAACAAGAGAAACTGGTTATTTCCAGATCAAGTGGGGGTTGGGAAGAGAGCTCTCATGCAGGGGTAGCCAATCCACCTCATTTTGGATTCAGATCAGCAGACTTAGGTGTTTACAACTGCAGTGTTTCAATGCTGCAGACTGGCAACACCCTATTGAAAACTTCATCTCCAAAGCAGCAAGACAGTTTTAGATTCACCTTGTGAGCCTTGCCTCCTGCAGATGGCTAGAGGTATGCAAAGGAATAATTCCATTTCAATGTGTCTGACAAATGTAATTTTTCCATGTAATAGTATCAGCCAATTGTAGTGTAATGTCCCAGAAATGCAGTTAATACTGGCTAACAGTTTATGTTATCGCTTCTTATTCTCACTTATGAAGTTGCCCGGAAAGCCTCTCCTGATTTAGCATTTCCAAGCAAGATGACTTAAAAGACTTCTTGACTGCCGCTTACCTAATATTTTAAATTAGCATCAGCTATTTATAGTTGACCCCTAATTTTGGGTACTCATTCTTGGCTTAAAATTCAATAGTGATTTTCTTTTCAAACAATATATTTAATTATCCAGAACTAACAAATGATATACAGGTACTCCTCAACTTACAACCATTAATTTAGTTACCATTCAAAGTTAGAACAGCACTGAAAAAAATGACTTACAACCAGTACTCACTCTTATGACTGTTGCGTTTGCGGTATCATAGGGTCATGTGATTGCCATTTGCGACCTTCCCAGCTAGCTTTGGACAAACAAAGTCCACAGGGAAAGTCTGATTTGCTTAACGGCTGCATGATTCATTTAATGACTACA